AAATATTAACTGTCAGTTTGAACATTTTCTTCTGTTAATGGTATCTCTCAATGAAAGACCATCTGTCCTGTTCCAGGGAAAAATAAAAACAAACCAGACTGAAATCCCAGAACATGAGCTGAGAGGCAATCAGAAAGTGACATCTCCAAGACATGTGAAACATCATGTCCAGGCCTTTTGTGGAATCGAACAATAAATCCAAATCTATGGACAGGCAATAAACCAGCAATACAATTCATGCTCAGAATGTACTCAACTATGGCAGTGTAAAGCTGCTACAGAAGCTGGTATTGAAATTGCTCTGCCTTTTATAGAGTGCTTATCTGCATATCAAGAATTACCCTGTATGAGCAGTTCATCTTGGCAGATTATCTGTTTTACTCCTTTCCAGGAACTGGATGTCTCTCTCTCTGTCCCTTAAAAACTTAATGATTTAGACAATTTCAGAGCTTGACTAAGACAGAAATAGTCTTTTACAAACTGTAGCTGTCAGTGAATTAAGAAAAGCCAATTGGCCAATATCCCCCACCTCTCAAGATTGTCACAGGCTGTGATCTGTAAGGCACACACTTTAACCTCTTTAATCAAAGGAATGCTCCTCTGGAGAAAAGAATAACACCCATGATTAAATGTGCTAGAGACTGCCAAAAAGGCCTGTGACTCTACAGCCTTGTGGTTATGGCACCTAATGGAACAAATGCTCCCAGAACTCCTCAGATACTCCATCCTTTCACTGCCTGCCACAAACAGGCGCATTTGTAGGCGCTGGAACTTCTGTGCAGTCCTTTGGTTTCCACGGTAGCAGAACTCAGTGCTGGCAATACTGAAACCGCCTGACCACCTTCCATCCTGGCAACCCGCAGCAACCGCAGGACGCTGCAAGGCAATTCGCTCCCCAGATGAAGGCGCGGGGGCCCCTCTCCCGCGGCGCGGTGCCTCACGCAGCCCGTACCGCACCGATTCGCCTCCAGCCCGGCCCCTCCGCCGCGCGCCCTGGCACAGCCCCACGCACAACGGGCCCTGGTGCCGCCTCAGCGACGACGGGAAGCGTCCCGGAACCGCATCTCGCCGGAACAGCGGCTCGGGAAAGAACCCGCACGTCCGCGGCCAGACAAGGGCTGCAAGCCCTCCCCACACCCACCCGTCAGAACCGATATTTTCCTTTAGTTCAGTGGGGGTTGCATTTCCCTTTATCTTAGTAGACAGCAACGTTCTGTCAGTGATTTGCAGCTGTTTGGGTTTTCAGGTGAAATAACAGACTTCCCAGTGGTTACAGGAAACTGGTTTTCCTTTGTTCTTAGAGCGTTTGGAAACATTCAGCAGACTTCAATAGATGCACAAATTAAATCATGTCTCAAAGACATGTATACGACACTTCAGACATGCTTCTTTTTTTGCAGGGTGGAGTAAACATTCTGAGGTTTCAATGAACTGTATAGTATTACAAAAAATGAGGATATTCTATTTGCAACACAAATTGTTTGTTTGAATGTACAGGGCAAATCTGGAGGGAAGCAAGAGGAATGGTAATAAAACACCTCATCCTGAAAGTGTCTTTGGTGAAAGGCTTAGGTCTCTCCCTTGTCTCTTTTGTGAGAAGAGATTATTTTGGCACTCTCATGATTTGGCTGCCTTTTTACCTCTCATTATCCACTGAGACTTGTCAGATGTGGGTGCTTACAAACATAGCTCCAGGTGAAGCTCTTTGTGTGCCTAAGACAGGAACTATAGTTCTTTCTGACAGTCAGGTTCTAAAGTTCCTGTATCCAAGTTCTCAACAGTTATTACTGGAGGGGGGGGGAAGTATTTATTTTCTTTACCCCATAATCTCTAGGGACACTTGTCTTCTATCCCTCTGCTGTGTAGCCTGAACATCACCATGTGCACCTGCTCATTGATGCATGTCATGTGTGTTGCTGTGCCTCACATGGAGTGTCCCATCTTTAGTTTTCCAGATACAAGTTTCTATTCTAGCAGGACCTGTTGAAATAGGACAAATGGTCATAGTTTTAAACTAAAAGGGGGTGGATTTAAACTAGATATAAGGACAACATTTTTTACAATGAGAGTGGTGAAACACTGGACCAGGTTGCCCAGAGAGGTGGCAGATGCCCTGGAAACATTCTAGGTCTGGTTGGGTAGGGCTCTTAGCAACCTGATCTAGTTGAAGATCTCCCTGCTTACTGCAGGGGGTTGGATTAGATGACCTGTAGAGGTCCCTTCCAACCCAAACCATTTTATGATTCTAACTGACCTTCACCCTCAGGAGAGCTGGTTGTTAACTCTGTTGTCTTCTCATGTGATGCTGGTCTGTGTGTCCACCTCAGTGGTTACAAGTATTTTTCACAGATTTGTGCAGCCTGTATTAGGTTGCATTAGAAGAATGACAGAAGAAAAATTTGATGGATTTTTTTCATCTGGAACAACAAAACTAGCAAGTGATCAATACAGTGAAAGATGTTCTCAATAATTCTACAAAGCTCAATCTCCAATTACTTCATTTTCATGCTGAACAATGACTCAGGATAAAAAGTAATCTTGGTACATTTTAGTCCTTGCTGACAGTGCATTAATACTGTTCTTGTGTTAACATTGAATTTGTAATGTGTTAATGCATAAAACAGTATTAATACTAATATTAAAGTTCTTATGTTGTGTTTTCTATGGTTAAAGGGATGAGCAGTAGCTGGCATAATCTTTTGACATTTTTTTTTACTTTTCACAGTCTGCTGTTTTGAGGGGCTTCAAACTACTTACTGTCCTTACTGTCCTTTCAAGCTCTGTACAGAAAACCCCTAGTAAGAGACCCTCTTTGTAAAATATTAACTGTCAGTTTGAACATTTTCTTCTGTTAATGGTATCTCTCAATGAAAGACCATCTGTCCTGTTCCAGGGAAAAATAAAAACAAACCAGACTGAAATCCCAGAACATGAGCTGAGAGGCAATCAGAAAGTGACATCTCCAAGACATGTGAAACATCATGTCCAGGCCTTTTGTGGAATCGAACAATAAATCCAAATCTATGGACAGGCAATAAACCAGCAATACAATTCATGCTCAGAATGTACTCAACTATGGCAGTGTAAAGCTGCTACAGAAGCTGGTATTGAAATTGCTCTGCCTTTTATAGAGTGCTTATCTGCATATCAAGAATTACCCTGTATGAGCAGTTCATCTTGGCAGATTATCTGTTTTACTCCTTTCCAGGAACTGGATGTCTCTCTCTCTGTCCCTTAAAAACTTAATGATTTAGACAATTTCAGAGCTTGACTAAGACAGAAATAGTCTTTTACAAACTGTAGCTGTCAGTGAATTAAGAAAAGCCAATTGGCCAATATCCCCCACCTCTCAAGATTGTCACAGGCTGTGATCTGTAAGGCACACACTTTAACCTCTTTAATCAAAGGAATGCTCCTCTGGAGAAAAGAATAACACCCATGATTAAATGTGCTAGAGACTGCCAAAAAGGCCTGTGACTCTACAGCCTTGTGGTTATGGCACCTAATGGAACAAATGCTCCCAGAACTCCTCAGATACTCCATCCTTTCACTGCCTGCCACAAACAGGCGCCATTTGTAGGGCTGGAACTTCTGTGCAGTCCTTTGGTTTCCACGGTAGCAGAACTCAGTGCTGGCAATACTGAAACCGCCTGACCACCTTCCATCCTGGCAACCCGCAGCAACCGCAGGACGCTGCAAGGCAATTCGCTCCCCAGATGAAGGCGCGGGGGCCCCTCTCCCGCGGCGCGGTGCCTCACGCAGCCCGTACCGCACCGATTCGCCTCCACCCCGGCCCCTCCGCCGCGCGCCCTGGCACAGCCCCACGCACAACGGGCCCTGGTGCCGCCTCAGCGGCGACGGGAAGCGTCCCG